GCTGCTGCCCACTCCTGGCTGAGGTCAGAATGCAGCAGTAACTGCGCTGGATCTCTCATGGGATTTTTGGGAGTCCTGTTGTTCCTCTACCCCATGGTATTGCAAATTTTCCATTAAAAGGTATGTTTGCCCCAGGGCATGCATATTATACTGATTGGAGTTGAGGTCTTTACTGTGCACTGGAGGTTACTATTCAGCCCAAAGAGCAGTAGTTTCCTCTACAAACTGAAAACTCTAATCTACCATATATTGTTTTTATTATACTCTTACAAAGTATTGTTTTGTCCTAAAGGTGTTGCACCTTCATTTACCTTCTTCTTAACTTGTAAATCATAGGGTCATAGCCCTAAATGAATTGGATCCTCTCTGTTGAGATGATTGTGTGAGTGGTCTTTGGTATAATCACGGGGACTCAGCCGAGTGTTCTCAAGAAGGTATGGAATTCATTTCATGCCTTGGTTCACCAGAGCCTGCAGTTGACAGTGTTTAGATCATGCTGCAAGATACACATGGCTTTTCAAGCTTAGTATTGGGGGAGACTACGTGACACTGGGAGAGAGTTTGTGAGAAGCTGCAAAGGAAATTTTAATGGAGCTTTTCCAGCATAGAAGGCTTTGTTGGTGCTGCTGAAGGTTCCTTTTTAAGGTGTGTGTTGCAAATTTGTTTTAAAGCCAGCCAACACACTTAGGATGTAAAATATTCACAGAGTGACTAAATGTAAATACAACTGTAAAAGCTGTTGCAGTTTAATAATAATAAACCTAGATGTTTCAGCTAAATTTTCATAAGGAGCTAGGGATGTTGGTGCCCAACTTGAAGCATCTAAAAATCTTGGGTTGCTTTTTTTTTTGTCCCCTCCCTCCCCCCCGAAAGTGTTGAACACCTACTCTGAAAATCAGGCCCTTTAGTTAGGTTCAACACCCCAACATCAAGGCACTCAAAACTTCTAGTAACTTTTGAAAATGTAGGTTATTAGTTATTCTTATGATTGTTAACAGAGGCTGGAAGCTATTTTTCAGCCTCGAATACAGGCCTACCAGACTGCTACAATCACAAAATGAGGTCACTTTCTAGCAAGATACACTTGCCATCAGTGGGTGACTCTATTAATTAAAAAAAAAACTTTTCAAACTAATTTCAGCAGTTTATTCTTTACACTTAATGAAAAGAAGGGTTTTTCCCTATCATTTAATTTTCAGATAGCAGTCATGAGCCAAATGGGTGGTGTTTTTCTTTAAATTATATAAAGCAGGGTATGGAAACCAGTCATGGGGCACTGTGGATTAGCTGTATTGCCTATAAACCAGTTGCAACACTTCAGAAGTTCTGTATAAAGATGATGATGGTGTCAGATATTTTATAACCATAGATGTTAGTTAGATTTTTTATCTTTTGCTCTCCCAGCCCCCAACTCTGACAAAGTTAATTTCTTCTTCTGAACAGTGTAATAGAACAGCTGCTGGGTGCCCAACTGATAAACTCAGACTTCAAAACATGCAGTTTTAAAACCAAGGACATGCTGTTTGAATCAAGTGATTATCAGAAAGCCACTTCTTTCCATGTCCTTTGTGGTAGCGCTGGCTGTTTCAATACTATGAAGGAGATGATAAATATTTGGTTGATGTTTGGGGCGGAAATGAGGGAGAACCAATCCCCAGGCTTTGAATGTGTGTTGATATGTGTAGCACTACTTCAGATAAGATAAGCAGTGGGCATTGTGAAAGGGTTTAGAGAGGCTAAATGAGTGATGTCAGCCTCTAAGGCAATACTGTAGTGGTTCAGGAAATAGTTATATGAATCAAAAGAAGTAAAAGCTTTGGTTTTACTGCCCTTATGACCTCTCTTTCTGCCATGTTCTACTTCCCTTTTCTCTGTACCCTCATTCTCTCATCAAGATGCTTCTTCTCAGAATACAAGCATGCTTTGGTTTCTCCATCCAAAATCCCTCCTCCTGTCATCCTGCCCTCCCACTGAAATTACCACTCCATCTCCCTCCTGTCATTTATAAACTCATTGACTGATCCATCCTTCTCCAACTTTGTCCTTGATACTCTTCAAACTGTTTTTCACTCACTTTCTCTCCAGTCCTCTGACACTGCTCTTGCTGAGGTCTCCAGTAGCCTTTTTACAGACTTCTAATCCATTCTCAGGACACTTCTCCATTCTCATCTTCCTTGATCTCTCTGCAGCTTTTGATACTGTTGACTTTCCCCCTCATTCTTAAAATATTATTCTCTGACTTTCTTGAGTCCCTCTTTTCCTTGTTTCCTTCCTACTTCGGTGACTATTGTTCAGTATTCTGTTTAGTGAATCCTCCTCCCCTCTTTCACTTTCTTTGTGGCACCTGCAGGGCTCCCTCCTACTATCTCTCTGCTGTATTTCTTTAGGTGATCTCATTGCTCACATGCCTTTATGTTGATGCCTCTCAGATCTGTCTCTCCTCTCCTGGTCCGACTCCCTCCATTCACACCTGCAGCTCATCCTGCTTCTGATATCCTTTGCAGAAACGTACATTTAGCAGGGCCAAAACTGACCTCTTTGTCCTGTTCTCCCTATCCCTTCTCTCTGTTACTGTTGACAATGTTATCATCCATTAAGGCCTGTAAACCTGGGTATTCTCTTCAAGTTTGTCCTCACTTTAGTCCATGCATCCAAAGCCATATCCAGATCTTGCTGCTTTTCTCTGTAACATTTTCGAGATGTTGCCTTTTTCTTTTTCTTGTGCAGAAATTTCTTCTCCGTTTTGACCTTCCTCACATCCACGTTACCAATTTCAGGTGCGTTCTCAAAATGCTGCTACTAAAATATTTCTGGCCTGTGACTCTGGCTATGTCGTCCCCTTTTTAGTCTTGCCATTGACTCAACTTCACTAATGATGCTAGTCTAAATTGCTTATTTGTTCATTTTTCCCACTGCACATTTTCTTTCACGACTCCACACACAAGGGGCAACTAGTCCACAAATGCATCTGTAAAGCCACTTCTCTATCCTTCTTCAGATCCTTTCTCAAGACCTATTTCTGTCAGGAAGCCTGTGGTAAACTGCCAACTGATAATGGCTAGGCTGGTAGCCAGCAGGAACTATTGATATTAATATCTCCTGTTTTATTTACATTGCATTTCTTTTTAAATTGGATTTAGTGAGCCTCTGCAACTACATTGTTACCTTTGGCTACCTGCTGCAACTCCCTCCATTTCGTTACACTTCCATGTCACATCCAATCTTAATGTAAACTGTATGCTCTTTGTTGCACTAACTGCCTTGTGCTTTGTACGTTCTTGGGGGCACTAACTACCTCATACAATGTACTATGTGTTTGGGGCCATGATCTGATTAGGGCCTCTTGGCTCTACCCTAATGCCAACAGTAGTTCTAGTAATAATCAGTGCTTAATTTGTGCCAGGGTTTGCCAGGGCTAAGCCTCGGCACCTCTCAACTTGGCAGTTCATAGCCCCATCACCTCTGGGCTTGCTGTGTCAGTTATGAAAGTAAAAAAAAAAAAAACTGCGTGAGCCCTGGCACCTCTTTCATTACAAATTAAGCACTGGTAATGTTCTGTCATAATTCTCTTGTGAGGCTATTGTCTTAAAGCAACCTCTGTTTTATTGGTGATTAGTTGGAGAGGAAGTTGTATGTATTCCTCTAGACAGATTTTGAACCAAATTGTATTTGAAGAAGCATGCACATAATGACCAAACAGCTGTTTGGGACCAACGACCAGTGCTGCTATACATTTCTGATCCAGCTCCCTGTCAGGTCTGTGAGGTTCTGCCATCATGGGAGCCAGAGAAGGCTTTGATTTGTAAACCTTGTGAATTATCAGTGCTATAGAGATTAATTTAATGGCATATATGCTGGTTTACTCTGGACCTGTGGGGGCTGAGGCATGAAGGTAACACTCATCCATTCAGAGAATACCGGATGAGTTGCAATGCATGCATTCTGCCAAGTTCTCTTGGAAGATGAGATGATAAGCATAAATTGCAAAATGTAAATCTTTTCCACCCATAATTGATAGAGTATTGCTAAATATTTTGCCATCCATGTGCTTCATTTTATCAAATACTAGTCCTCAAGTGTCACATTTGAAATATTGTAATGACTATTTACAGTAGAAGTGGGCATTCACCCACGAAAGCGTATGCTCCAATACATCTGTTAGTCTTAAAGGTGCCACAGGACTCTCTGTTGCTTTTCACAGATCCAGACTAACACGGCTACCCCTCTGATATGTGAAATGTTTGTAACTCTGAACAAAACGTTATGGTTGTTCTTTCAAAAGTTTACAACTGAACATTGACGTAATACTTTGAAACTTTATTATGCAGAAGAAAAATGCTGCTTTCCCTTTACTTTTTTAGTAGTTTATGTTTAACACAGTACTGTACTGTATTTGCTTTTTCCCCCCCTCTCTCCTGCTGCCTGATTGTGTACTTCCGGTTCCAAATGAGGTGTGTGCTTGACTGGTCAATTCGTAACTCTGGTTTTCGTAACTCTGAAGTTCTACTGTAGCTAGCCATGCATAGTCCTTAGATTCTCCTGCAGGTGACGTTATAGTTTTACATGTCTACAAGAAGACAGTACAGGATGGGGGTGGGAGGGTGTCAAACAATTTTCATATGGTGGGCCTGATGACATACCTTGCGATTTGTAGTGTTCCAGTGTGGACTCCCCCTTATTCCCCTGTGTGGACCCTGCTGGCATATATTAAGTGTTCCTTAGAGCACAATGATGTAGTCTTGTTTCAAACTTGTTGAGGCTACATCAATGCAGGCTAGCAGGGGAGCTAGAGCCCAACACACCTGTAGTGTAGACTCCGGAGATGTGCAGACAAGCCCAAAGATTCATGGGAATCCAGATGAAACTGTTCTGTAGGCCGCATCTGGTCAGTGGGCCATACGCTTGACACCCTGGTACAGAGTCTTTTTTTAATGGTAGTAATATAATTAAACTACTTTCAGCACATTGCCAATCACTTTTAAATTTTTCTTTGTTCGTAGGGTGGAGTTCATTTCTTTTGTTCCTGGGAGCTGAATAGGAGAAAGGGACATTTCAGGTTAACTTGATAAAGGTAAGACAACATCTATTGGTAAAGATAAAATAATATTCATTATTGTGAGTTTATAGTAAGTTTGTCAATGGAGGTGTGTGATGTGAGGTTTTTTAACTTTGTGCTTTAGCAGTAAGTTAAAGTGAAGTATGTGATAACATAATTTGTTTAATGAATGGAATGTGTACTTCTACCACAGGTATCAGTAAAACCCCTGGAGATAAGAAAGGAGGTGTAGATCAACATGACAAAGTGGATATCAATTTGTTATATGATTAGTAACTTCTAGCATTTTCTGTACTCCATTGAATTTTAAATATTGGTTTGTTCAGCTGTGGTTCTCTTCATCAAACATTTGCACAGACTGTAAGAGCTCGTCAGTTAGAATTCCATATCCTGTAAGACACTTCTTAAAAAAAACGCACAGAAACATGTACCAGTCCTTTGTCTTTTGGTGCATTAATGGATGATAGCATGTTACTTTTATACAAGTTCTCTAAGGACTATGTTGTGACTCTGACTGCATACCTGCCCACGGTTATTAAGGGAGAGTAACCCCCTCTCCCACATCCCTTTTATTTGCTACCTTGGGACTGCACAGGAGCAAACTGTTACTGTGCATTTAGTAGCCTCCCCCAGACCCTGGGAGCAGGTTGGTGGAGAGGGGCACAGAATGGGCAGAACCTTGGCTGTCAGTTGAGCCAGTGCAGGGCTATTGTAATTTGCTGCTGGCCTACAACAGCAGCAAACTCCTACCTCTTTCCTCCCTGGGATGAATGGGAGTTGTGCCTCTGAAGGGTGTGTCTTAGCCACAATGCCTCCCAGGGCTACTCCTGGAGTAGTACAGCCTACATAGCATTCCTGCATAGGGCTGTGCCAAAAGGCACAATGTAGCCCTAAAATATTACAATTCGTGACTGTACCTCACAATGACCACACTGATAACAGAAGACTTTGATTTAAAAATTCTTGTAACCCCATTGTCTTTCCTTATTTCCCCTGGCCTTGTTTGAAGACTGCTTGTAGCACACAGCTGAACATCCATATTAGACTTGCATTAGCATCCCCTTGGTTGTACTGCACTATGAATACTCTCTTTTTATATTAACATTTAAATTAGCTGGTAAGATAGGGAAGCTTAGTCATACTTTTAAAAAGTTCTCTCGTATACTACATAAAACAACATGAAACACACTATTGCAAAGCAATGCAGAACTTAAAGTCATAAAGTGTGTGTGTGTGTGCGCGCGCCTTTAAAGTCTTAGGCCTGTCTACACACACAAATTATACCACTTTAAATATACCAGTGTATTTAAAGCTGTACAGTACTCCTAGGGTATGTCTACACTACGAAATTAGGTCGAATTTATAGAAGCCGGTTTTATGGAAATCGGTTGTATACAGCCGATTGTGTGTGTCCCCACATAAAATGCTCTAAGTGCATTAGTTCGGCAGACCGCGTCCACAGTACTGAGGCTAGCGTCGACTTCCGGCGCATTGCACTATGGGTAGCTATCCCACAGTTCCCGCAGTCTCCGCCGCCCATTGGAATTCTGGGTTGAGATCCCAATGCCCGGATGATGCAAAACAGTGCCGCGGGGGGTTCTGGGTACATGTCTCAGGCCCCTCCCCCTCCGTCACAGCAATGGCAGACAATAGATTCGCGCCTTTTTACCTGGGTTACCTGTGCAGACAACATACCACGGCAAACATGGAGTCCGCTCAGCTCAGCTCACCGTCACCATATGTCATCTAGGTGCCGGCAGACGTGGAACTGCATTGCTACACAGCAGCAGCAGCTAACTGCCTTTTGGCGGTAGACGGTGCAGCATGACTGGTAGCCTTCATTGGCGATCTGGGTGCCGGCAGCCGTGGGGCTGGCAGCCGTGTGGCTGCATTGCACCAGCCCCTTGCCTTTTGGTAGAAGATGTTATATTACGATTGGTATCCGTCGTCATCGTACTGCAGTGGCTGTCGATCATGGGCACCTGGGCAGACAATGTTGGTTATCAGTCGTAGTATGCCATTTTCTGCCATGCGCCCTGTTGGCTCATCGCACGTTAGCTGAGTCGTAGTATGCTATTTTCTGCCAAGTGCCCAGTATTTTCTGCTAAGCACCCAGAAGAGGCGAGCGCGATCTGGGTGCTGGCAGACATGGGGCTGGCAGACGTGGGGCTAGATTGCTACACAGCAGCAACCCCTTGCCTTTTGGGCAGTAGATAGTATATTACGACTGGTATCCATCGTTGTCATACTGCAGTGGGTATCAGATCGTGCAATAGACCTGAAGGCTAACTGCCAAGCGCCCAGTATTTGCTGCCAAGCTCCCAGAAAATGCCGAGGGCTATCAGTCATGCTGCACCGTCGTCTTAAGATGTAAAAAATAGATTTATTCTGTATTCATTTGCTTCCCCCCTCCCTCCTGCTAAACCCAGGCTTTTGAGTTCAATCTTGGGGGGGGGGGGCATTCTGTGTGACAGTTGTTTGTGTTTCTCCCTGATGCAAAGCCACCTTTCTTGATTTTAATCTCCTGTACCTGTACGCCATGTCATCACTCGCCCCTCCCACCCTCCCCTGGTCCGTCAGATACTACTTTCGCGCCTTTTTTCAGACCAGACGCCATAGCTAGCACTGGGATCATGGAGCCCGCTCAGATCACCGCGGCAATTATGAGCACTATGAACACCACGCGCATTGTCCTGGAGTATATGCAGAGCCAGGACATGCCAAAGCAAAACCAGGACCAGGCGAGGAGGAGGCGATTGCAGCGCGGCGACGAGAGTGATGAGGAAATGGACATGGACCTAGACCTCTCACAAGGCACAGGCCCCAGCAATGTGGAAATCATGGTGTTAATGAGGCAGGTTCATGCCGTGGAACGCCGATTCTGGACCCGGGAAACCTGCACAGACTAGTGGGACCGCATCGTGCTGCAGGTGTGGGACGATTCCCAGTGGCTGCGAAACTTTCGCATGCGTAAGGGCACTTTCATGGAACTTTGTGACTTGCTTTCCCCTGCCCTGAAGCGCCAGAATACCAGGATGAGAGCAGCCCTCACAGTTGAGAAGCGAGTGGCGATAGCCCTGTGGAAGCTTGCAACGCCAGACAGCTACCGGTCAGTCGGGAATCAATTTGGAGTGGGCAAATCTACTGTGGGGGCTGCTGTGATCCAAGTTGCCAGGGCAATGAGAGACCTGGTGATATCAAGGGTAGTGACTCTGGGAAACGTGCAGGCCATAGTGGATGGCTTTGCTGCAATGGGATTCCCAAACTGTGGTGGGGCCATAGACGGAACCCATATCCCTATCTTGGCACCGGAGCACCAAGCCACCGAGTACATAAACCGCAAGGGGTACTTTTCAATGCTGCTACAAGCCCTGGTGGATCACAAGGGACGTTTCACCGACATCAACGTGGGCTGGCCGGGAAGGGTACATGATGCTCGCATCTTCAGGCACTCTGTTCTGTTTCGAAAGCTGGAGGAAGGGACTTTCTTCCCGGACCAGAAAATAACCGTTGGGGATGTTGAAATGCCTATCGTGATCCTTGGGGACCCAGCCTACCCCTTAATGCCATGGCTCATGAAGCCGTACACAGGCAGCCTGGACAGGAGTCAGGACCTGTTCAACTACAGGCTGAGCAAGTGCCGAATGGTGGTGGAATGTGCATTTGGGCGTTTAAAAGCGCGCTGGAGCAGCTTACTGACTCGCTCAGACCGTAGCGAAAAGAATATCCCCATTGTTATTGCTGCTTGCTGTGCGCTCCACAGTATCTGTGAGAGTAAGGGGGAGACATTTATGGCAGGGTGGGAGGTTGAGGCAAATCGCCTGGCCGCTGATTACGCGCAGCCAGACACCAGGGCGGTTAGAGGAGCACAGCAGGGCGCGGTGCGCATCAGAGAAGCTTTGAAAACGAGTTTTGTGACTGGCCAGGCTACGGAGTGAAACTTCTGTTTGTTTCTCCTTGATGAACCCTCCGCCCCTGCACCCCCCCACCCGGTTAATTCTACTTCCCTTTAAACCAACCACCCCACCTCCCCTAGTACCCTCCCCCCTTCGAGCACCGCTTGCAGAGGCAATAAAGTCATTGTTACTTCACATTCATGCATTCTTTATTAATTCATCACACAACTAGGGGGATAATTGCAAAGGTAGCCCGGGATGGGTGGGGGAGGAGGGAAGGAAAAGGACACACTGCAGTTTAAAACTTTAAAACTTTAACACTTATTGCTCGGGAAATTATCTGGGCTGGAGTGACTGGGTGGCCGGAGGCCCCCCCACCGTGTTCTTGGGCGTCTGGGTAAGGAGGCAATGGGACTTGGGGAGGAGGGCTGTTGGTTACACAGGAGCTGTAGCGGCGGTCTGTGCTCCTGCTGCCTTTCCTGCAGCTCAACCATACACTGGAGCATATCAGTTTGATGCTCCAGCAGCCGGAGCATGGACTCTTGCCTTCTGTGTGCAAGCTGACGCCACCTCTCATCTTCAGCCTGCAACTTGATCTGTTCCTCCCGCGCTTCAGCACGCAACCTCTCCTCCTCAGCCCGCGATTCAGCCCGCCACCTCTCCTCTCGTTCATATTGGGCTTTTCGATAATCAGTCATTGACTGCCTCCACGCATTCTGCTGTGCTCTGTCAGCGTGGGAGGCAGTCTGTAGTTCTGTAAACATTTCATCACGCATCCTTCGCTTCCGTTTTCGAATATTCACTAGCCTCTGTGAAGGAGAACGATTTGCAGCTGGTGGATGAGAAGGGAGAGGTGGTTAAAAAAGATACATTTTAGAGAACAATGGGTACACTCTTTCATGTTACATTTTGCTGTTCACACTACACAGCAGATGTGCTTTCGTTACAAGGTCGCATTTTTCCTCTTATATTGAGGGCCTGCCGGTTTGGTGTGAGAGATCACTCACGCAGTGCCAGGCCACAGATTTCAGCTTGCAGGCAGCCATGGTAAGACACAGTCTTTTGGCTTTTTTAACCTTCTTAACATGTGGGGATGGTTTCAAAGAGTACTGCTCTCAT